AACACTTCACTGACTGATAATATGGTTATGACACAACATGCTGTTCCTTTAATGCGAAACACAATCATAACAGCCCAGTAACTAATTGCCTATTTCAATATTTTCAAAGATGTGTAAAAACCTATTTGACCTTATTATATTAAGGTTTCCTTTACTTTTCTTGTGATGTATTTAATCTGACTATAACAATATTTTCCCATCCTTTGCCGATAAAATTTAACTGAATATTCATTTGACTCTTTCCATATTTCAAATTATATTTTTTCTAGGTTAGATGCTTTAGTATTATTTTGCATTTTAAATCAGATTCAAGCACAGATAAAATGTCTAGACTATATGGAGAAACAAATTCTTAATAAATAATAATATTTCCATGGTTTTATCTAGTATTAGAAAACTTCATTATATTCTCATCAATTACATTTTTGACATTTTAAATTTCATCTACTTCAGTATCTCGCATCCAAGAACATCTTCTTATATTTTTTGGATTAATATTTTTTTTATAAGGATCAATACGAAAATGAGTATACTTGGTTATTACAAATCTATGAAACAATAACAACATAACATGTGACTAAAGCTGCCCTAATTCTGGATTTCTAGCCAATGGAAATAGAGTTCAACATTTTCTAGGAGTGAATGCTTCAAAAATTGTTTTATTATCTGATTATCTAAGTTTTAAAATTACCTTGTTGATCAGGATGCCTCGATTAATATGTTTTTTTTATTCGCTTAGAAATTTCAAACGTAAAATCTCTTGGCATTATGCATGTTATGTTGTATCTTTTGATTGCATAATTTGTTATTGCCTTTTTTATGTATTCCTGTTCTGTAAGTTAGAGCGTTTTTGCTGTAGAATGAGAAAAAAGTACTGAAGTACCCAAAACACAAATTTAATAACATGTGAACTAAATCTTGGAAAAATTTATAAAAGAGTAAACCATACAACTTGAGTTGCACCTGGGGTCGGGTGGCGCCAGGATTTGCAGACGTGTGGGGGGGGGGGAGATTCCCCGACGAGGGGTCAGAGAATTCAAAAACAAAAACTCCTGTATAAGGCAGTAGACATGTTATTTTTCTTTATGTTGAACAAAAACAACATGCTACATTTGACCTTCCTTTCCCACTATGCATATCATATATTGGAACGCTTCCTGTGAAACCCTGTTTCATGATTGCACGAACAAAAGCGGTTGGCTGATTGACCTGCAGGCAACATAAAATTATATAACATATGCGTTATTATTACCAAGCATGTGCTAATAAACACAGCTCAAGTCCCACCTCCTATGGGACCAATATGTGAAATAATTGTGTTTAAAAACAGAGAGCTATACATCACAAAATAGTCTTTAAAAACAGAGCTATACATTACAAAATTGTCTTTAAAAATAGAGCTATACATTACAAAATTGTCTTTAAAAACAGAGAGTTATACATTACAGAACAAGCTGACATTTTAAACTTATACATACATTTTGCAGACACTTCAACTATAATGTCAATGTACATTAGTTACATTAAGACCAACATACATTATGTAAAGTTTATATAATATTAAGCTTGGTGGTAATAAATGTGTTTTTTAAAAATAGTAAAATTGCTTTTACAGACAAAATTTCCATCTCAAGGACAATAACCTAACCTTATCTCAAGAATTTTTTTTTACCACAGCATACTGTACTTGTGTGAATAAGCACCCCGTTGAATAAGCACCCTTATCGAATAACCGCCCCCTAACGTGAACAGTTTCTTAAATGCCCCATTTGAATACCCATCAATCCTAATTTGAATAAATTCCCCCACAATTTTGAATAAATGTCCCTAGAATCCTAAAAAAATCAAACATAGAGGTACAGTAGCTATCGGTACTTTCCCATAAATTTATAATCAGTCCGTGGTGGTACTGAGGAAGGACAATTTGATTTCCTGCTCCACAATAAGACATTCATTCATAGAAGCTTTTGTGAAGAAAGCCTATCCAGTTAAACTACAGTACTGTAGCGGATTCAAATAGTGTCTGTCTCTTATACACATCTAGATGTGTATAAGAGACAGTATATATCATCAAAATGGTGTGTAATAAATTGGTGGTAAAATATTAGGGGACGAATAAACTCATCAACGGCACTGGAACAGCATTTTTTATTTTGTCTGCCAAGAGCACATTTTCTCGTCCGCTTTTTGAATGGGTTGGTATATGTACAGAGGCGCCCCACTCGTCCAATCGAGCATACTGCCTTCAAAATAACACAACAAATACATACGTTATATGTACGTTTAGTCTAGGTGTATCTTACCCGAACTACCAGCCGTTCTACAAGAAACAAAGAAGTAATAAACGCTAGAATGTTACCCCGATTTTGACGAGTATAGTCGTCTCTGGTTCAAGCAGCACATACTGTAGTGGGAAAAGTATCCCAGATATGAACGATAAATTATAGGACCAGTGTACATACCTCCTATGGGACCAATATGTGAAATAATTGCATTTAAAAACAGAGACTATACATCACAAAATATTCTTTAAAAACAGAGCTATACATTACAAAATTGTCTTTAAAAACAGAACTATAATTTACAAAATTGTCTTTAAAAATAGAGAGTTATACATTACAGAACAAGCTGACATTTTTAACTTACAGTATACATACATTTTTGCAGACACTTCAACTATAATGTCAATGTACATTAGTTACATTAAGACCAACATATATTATGTAAAGTTTATATAATATTAAGCTTGGTGGTGATAAATGTGTTTTTGAAAAATAGTAAAATTGCTTTTACAGACAAAATTTCTATCTCAAGGACAATAACCTAACCTTATATCTCGAGAATTTTTTTCTAGAACAGCATACTGTACTTGTGTGAATAAGCACCCTTCTCAAATAACCACCCCCTAACGTGAACAGTTTCTTAAATGCCCCATTTGAATACGCATCACTCCTAATTTGAATAAATACCCCCTCAATTTTGAATAAATGCCCCTAGAATCCTAAAAATATCAATCACAGAGGTACAGAAGCTATCGGTACTTTCCCGTAAATTTATAATCAGGCCGTGGTGGTACTGGGGGAGGGACAACTTGATTTCCTGCTCTACAATAAGACATTCATTTATAGAAGCTTTTGTGAAGAAAGCCTATCCAGTTAAACTACAGTACTGTAGCGGATTCAAATAGTGTAGACCACTATGTTTATCTGACTGGACATTTTAACACAGTTTAAAGTATAGGTACTTTACTGGTTGTTACTGTGATTAAAACGAACTTGTAAAGAGCAAGAGTTCAGTAAATTAATATTTTGATTGTTGCCATTTATGTTTATCATCCTCCATAGTAATTTTACTCGACTAAAAAATGTTACTTAATTTGGGCTTCGTTCATTGGGTAGGCCTACTATGAATAATCTTTTTTAATTCAAAATGCGTCCCTTGAATTTTCAAAGTTCCTGTAAGCACTTTCTAAATTTTCATTCCATAAGCACCCCCTCAATTTCCACTGTTTGAATAAACGCCAATCAACAAGTACAAACAAACTTTTAAGTGCTGTGTTGCTTACGCGTGCGAGTAGATTCACATCTGCCAGTCAACACAAAGAGAATGATAGATTTTACCCTACCAGCCGATCCCAGTCTTTTATCAACACCTCAAAATTGAGGTTTGGTTTTACCTGGGCCGTTGCTGGCATTTAAACAAACAAGGCCTACTTATGAAATAACAGTTGTTTCGCTCACTAGTGGCACTTTTTATGCTATTTAACTTGTAAGAAATAACAGCCTAGAACCTAGGCTAAAGCGATGCCAACTGGGATACATTACAGATCTCCAGGTAATGGTGATGGCATAACATATTGCTTAGGTTTCGGTAAATGCTGTAGCAATATATATATATTTTTTTTAACGAATATTATTTATAGAACACTTGTTTATTTGTTCTATGTTTATATCAATTTATAATCAGATTATTATAATGGCAATGAATTTATTCATTCCTTTGTTTGGCAATAGGAATTTTAAATCATTCTATCATTCTACCTGCACATCATCTTCTTCATGTAGTACCCATAACTTTGTACGTGCCATACCACAGTTGATAATTATTCTGGGCAAATGAATTAATCCACTTCATCTATAATCAGTTGAGTAAAAGGTCACTCATCCACTTTATACATTAACAGCAACCAATTGAGACTAATGATTATAATGTTTACTACCCAACACTTAACAACCAAAACTAAATGATTAGTACAGTACACGCAACAGATCCCAGCTTTATTTAGACTATTGTATTTTTATTTTTTCAAACACTGATTCATTGCACTTGTACACGTACTACTTTGGAATGTTTTAATGTTCACCAGAACAGTATGGACAAGTACACCGGAGTAACCCATACTTGTCTTGAAAGATGTACTGGATTTTTTATTGTGCACTTCAGCCAATTATGTACACTGGTCCTATAATTTATCGTTCATATCTGGGATACTTTTCCCACTACAGTATGTGCTGCTTGAACCAGAGACGACTATACTCGTCAAAATCGGGGTAACATTCTAGCGTTTATTACTTCTTTGTTTCTTGTAGAACGGCTGGTAGTTCGGGTAAGATACACCTAGACTAAACGTACATATAACGTATGTATTTGTTGTGTTATTTTGAAGGCAGTATGCTCGATTGGACGAGTGGGGCGCCTCTGTACATATACCAACCCATTCAAAAAGCGGACGAGAAAATGTGCTCTTGGCAGACAAAATAAAAAATGCTGTTCCAGTGCCGTTGATGAGTTTATTCGTCCCCTAATATTTTACCACCAATTTATTACACACCATTTTGATGATATATATGACTAGATAAAATTTCAAAAAAGTATATTTGTACATGTAAACTTGTTCTGGCACACTGGAAGGAACCTAAAAAAAAAGGCCTGGCAGTGTTAAGGCGCCCTTGCCGTGACTACTCGTCCATTCGATTAAACTTGTCACTATAAATACATACCTTCTTCATCATACGGCCTGCTGCCTGCCAACCTCTTATCCCAATATTACGATTGCTTGCAACGACGAGTTTTATTGCCGATTCGTAAAATTCCACCATATCAAAAAGTGCAGCTGATGACTACAGAAAAAATATAACATAGCTGAAGGTTAAAGAGAAATCAAAACAACTACATAGATGTAACATTTCTGGGAAAACTGTTATAACAACATGTAAATTGAGTTTATGTGAGTAATAATATTTATCTTCAAGATCTACGTTGAACTATAAAAACTTTTACTAACAGTAAAGTTATATTCAGTATTATACACACGTATACTGAACCATACATTACTTTTATACATTTTCATGTCCAATTTTATTACATCGGTGTTGAGAGCTTGTGAACCATTGATGAAAATGTGATAACTGATAATGTTACACAATACAGTATACTTAATAAACTATCGGTTATGAAATTTAAATTTTATACCTGTAAAAATTACATAGTATAAATTGATAATTATGCAAATGTGTTCAAGTAGAATCAACTGCATGGCAGGGGTTCATGCCTCTCACATTATAACATCCATCAAAAGAAAATATGATTAAAGCAAAATAAGCAGTGCACTTAAAACAATACAGAATTGAAAAATAGGATACTGCCAGTAAGACTTCTAAGATAACCACTTAAAGCCATTCTTATAACATGGGCCTACTCAACAAATTCAGTAATCATGACTACTTACAACGCTCATTCCCATAGTAGCAGTCGTACTCAATGGTTTATATATAGCAAGCAATTCATTTAAATTACCGGTAGCCTTCATAATTAGAAATATTATGCGCTTGCAATCATCAGCACCTTAAATTTTGCACTAGTCATAACATTAACATTTTTAAAGTGTTGCACTTTGTAGAGGGGGCCCCTAGAAAGGACTGGGAATGCTGACCTATTGCAAACTGTGTATTCTCAAGCCATTTTAGATGCTATCATATTTATTAAATACAAGTTCAAGATTACACTAATTATTGAGAAAATTATCGTTTATAACTGTTGAAGAACAATTTCTACAACTGATTGGTAGTCAGTACATTATACCAGATAGGCTAATAGTACAGTTGTTCTAATAATATATGAAAAAGCAAACAAATAAATAAATAAGAAAAAAAAAAAAACAACTAAGAAGTACGGAGACAGCTGCCTGTCATATGCAAGAAGAACTTTTAAATGTCAATTTTCAGTCAATAAATCATTTGTAATCATTTCATTTCATTATACTACAAGTGAAGTAAAAAACAATTTTGGGTGCACTTTTAGAGATCAGGTCACATGGTCATAACATCAGATTTGTAGCAGTTGATGTATAGTACACTCTGAATTTCGACTGTCTACAGAAGAATCATAGTTTTCTTCTTGCTAATATTTCATGAAGATTAATGTATAGAACAGAACAAACTGTACAATCTCGATTTATGCTTCTCCTTACAGGATAGACTCTATAAACTAGATTGTTTGATATCTGGACCAAAAAATAATTTTGCTTGTATCTTTGATTAAAAAATATAATGTAAATCCCAAATAGAAATTTTGCTTGCAAAAATTGCAGTGCACATTGATAAAATATTTATGAGCTAAGATAAATCACCACAGGAGACATGAAAGATTTTAGAAATTTCAAAATTGTTGTAACACCTATTTGTCTTACAAAGAATAATATTTTTATCACCCACCAAAAAGTTACTGTCAGCAAAATGAGTATTAGTTTTAAGTAAAGGATGCAATCCATAAATACAACCCTGGTATGAAATATTTATAAATGTTCTCACCTCATCATCCAGGTTACACAATTCCAAATCTATAGTTTGGAACTGGATTCGACTCAATATGGATTCCATTGCTTCTATCGTTCTCATGTCCATCTTTTCACCTGCAATTAATGATTATTGTCAAAAATTACAATTTATTACCATGTCAATTAAACATTACGATTAAAATGTAGTTTGGTGGTTAGGTTTCGATGTACCATCCTATAAGAAGATAACACCAAAGTCAAAGACATCACTGAAGAAACAAAAGAGACTAAGTAGAGATGGGCAGGTCATGTTACTCGCAGAGTTGACAACAGAAGGACAGAGAGACTGACTGAATTGCAACCAAGATCGGGTTTTTATTCTATATACTGTAATGGCATCTAATGTAGCAGGGAGAACAAGGCTGGGAAAGCTTATGGGAGACTCTCATTGGGCACTGATGGTGAAGACCCGAATGGGGAATATGGGAAACTGAGGAGGAAAGCTGGAGGAACGAGGTGATTATTAACTGCTCATGTTTAATTGTTTTGCTTACCTAAGAGCCAGAGGGAGAACACCTGGAGGTATAAACTATTTCTAAGAGACTTTTTGCTTTAATTTAAATTTTGTATAATCAATTTGATTTGATGTAATAGGCCCGGACTGATTCTTAGCTTTTTAAGAGATTATTAAAGACACATTCATCTTGTATATCCAATGGAACACAGGTTACATACAGAGAGTACAGGAAGGAACTTACAAAAGTTGAGTAGAAAACTAGGTTTCTGCTTGTTGATGAATTAAATTATAGTTAGCTATATTTAACAGCCGTGGCTGGCACATAACTGTTCATTACTGAACATTTTCTAGTGGTTTTCTTATACCACAACAAAATGCATTGGATAGCAAGTAGGTCTATTAAAGATATAAACATTGTGAGCTGTCCTTCCCTGTGATTGGTCAATAGGGGCAATGCATGTCACGCAAATTACTGTCACTTTTGGATTCTAAGACACCTGGATTCTCAAAGCTGTTACTGTACATAAAATATATTCTTAAAAATGTTTTAGACCTTAAAAATGTAGTATCATGGTATCAAGCAAAGAAAGTTCATAGGTAAAAATTTCATGAAAAAGTACTGTGCAATACAAAAAGTCTTTTTTGTCTCAATGTACTTAAAGTATAGAGATTACAAAGAAAATTAGCTTATAATAAATACTGGCGGTAAAAAGCGTACCGAATACACATTTAGTCTCAAGTTTCTATTTTGATTATTATACTCAACAGCTAGAATAGCAACAGTCTCCCAAGAGTTAGAATACAGTAATGCCTTCAGCTCACTAGTGCTAAATTAAACATGGCATGATATTTAAGGATATGCAACATTAATGTTATTGAATTTCATTTGATTTGAAAGATCTGCCTATTTTGAACTTTTTTGGCAGACAGAAATTTATTTACTATGTTCAGAAATTGTTTATTTCATTATATTTTAAGTCTTACTGTATAATTGTATTACATTGTTAGATGTGTTACAAGTATTCCCAGTTTGTCAATAAAAGCTTATCTAATTTAATATACTACATTACCAAGAAATATAAAGAAGAATCACATAAAGATTACAGATGCAGCAGTTGCAGTTCACTTCTTAAGCTTTAGGTTGGGGTCTAGTTTAGCTTAGTTTCGTATTTTTACATAGCGCCTACTCCTTTAGGTTACAAAGTGCTTTGTTTTCCCTGGTCATTGAGTCCACATGCTTAAGTTTTGCTGCTGGTAATCAGCGCAGGAGCAGACAACTCCACCAGGTACGCATTTATAATGCTGGATGGAGAGAGGCAATGCAGATAAAGTGCCTTGCTCAAGGACATAAGCAAATTGCACAGCAAGGATTTGAAACCATGACTCTGAGGTTGGGAAACCAAACGGTTCCTGCTGCGCCCAACCGGTTCAATCCCTCGTTATGCGTTTAAATATTCATTGCATGGCTCTTTGCTTCTTACACTTCTTTCTCCACCCAGGAGTACATGTGGGAATGCACCTTGTACGTTTTAATGCAAAATGTGCTGATTATTACAATAGGATGCACCATAACGGAATTCTCCATCAGGGTGCTGAATACATGTTAAGCCCGGCACTTCACTCTCTGCCAGCACTAGATTACGCAACGCCATATGCTGAGTGTAGTGTGACAGTCTGAATGGATCATTAAAAACGATCCGTTGTGCACACGTCGTGGCGTTGCCTTCTCTCTAGAATCACATCAGCCGACGGGCATAGCGAATGGCTTGACATGTATCACCAGTTTACTTATAAAATAAGAAAATTTACAGAACATTTTTAATAATACAAAATACACTAATAAAAAATTAAAATATTAAAATAATAATTATCAACCTCTTCTCTGCATCCATTACTACCTGTAAAATAAGTGACAAGAGTGTTACAGAGCAGGCCTGCAAACAAATGTTTATGCCTCCAACCATGAAAATGCTTTTAATAAAATGCATCCAGCACCAAATTTTATCTGTACACTATATACTCCAACAGTTTACTTTTAAAAATTGTTTTCTCCAAAAATGTCTCCGGGACATTCATAATGCCTCTGACCAACAGCTGGGCAGCCATGCACTTTTTCCAGTCCTGGTACACAGTATTCTGATTAGAAATCAACAAACCTATCACATGTGATTTTATGGGCTTGCCACTTAACTTGTGTGATCCATGGGTCTGACTTTAATGCAAATTAAAATTGTCTGGTTTTTTATCAATACAGTAATATACATACAGTATGTAAAAGAAGCTGTGCAGGACAATAAGCAATATAAGAACTTATTATCTACAATAATAAAATTAATGTTCTTAGAAAATAATAACTACTGCTACTTCTGTATTCATTCTTTAATTACTGTCTTGTAGATTTTTCATGCATTGAGTACAATGAATATTATCATCATTGAAGAATATTATTATCAAAGAACATTACAGGTGATAATATTTTAAATGATTTACATCACGAGAAGAAACTTTCTCCATATTTACCTGGCCATTAAATTCAAAATTAAAATAGCATTTTAAAATGTATGAAATTTTTTTAATGAATGAAAACCAGGACAAATACATCACTTGCTATCGAATTCGATCCAACTCGGCCACAAGTCAACTCGGCCACAGTCAACTCGGCCACAAGTTAACTCGGCCACAAGTCAACTCGGCCACAAAAAGTTTGGCTACAGTCAACTCGGCCACAAATCAACTCGGCCACAAGTCATCTCGGCCACAAATCAACTCGACCACAAGTCAACTCGGCCACAATTTATTTACTGGTACTACATTGTACTAATTGTTATTATTATTGCTGTTATTATTGTTGTCATTGTTGTTATTATTATTGTTGTTTTTATTACCGTTAGTTTTAATATTAATTATTAGTCTTAGCATTAACATTATATATTGTTCAAATTTTTGCTGATATTATTATTTAATATTACAGTACCATATAAATAATAAATAATTTTCGATTTTTTATTATTATTATTCATATTATTATTATTATTATTTATTAGTCTTAGTATTATAATTTTAATAGTAATTTAAAAAGTTGTTGTTATGGGCGTTTAATTAGTATTTTTCTCATATTGTCACATTCTTATATTGTCACATATGTTGTCACCTTTATTATCGATATTATTACCCTATTATTATTTATTTTATTATTATTATTATTATTATTACTAATTAGTACAGTATTACTATTATTATAAAAATAAACATTATCTTTAATTTATTATTGTATTATTGCTATTATACCTTCAATATCGTTATTATCACTAATTAGTTATTAAAATTGATATTTAAATATCGTTATTATTATCATACTAGTATTATTACTATTTGTTAAAATAAATATTACTATTAATGTTGTTGTTATCACATTTATTATCGTCATAA